ACACTGGTGGAATTGCGTAAGTAATAAGGCTTTTAACTAGCTTAGTGAATCGATTTAAACTAGTACGTGCCTACCATTTCTATATACTTTTGAAAATAGAGATGTAGTCGCAGCAGGAGAAGCACCCCTAAACCCTTGAGATCACTCGACCCCGACCCCATTTTAGTAGTCCTAGCTATCCACTCCACTATGTGGTAAAGTGTTTGTCCCCACCCCTTCGTAGGGGTACCTTCCCTTTTAATTGAGAGAAGGACTCGGAATTGACTCCCATCGATTCGAGATCCGAAAGAAGGGTATGGAGTTTCTCCAAGGAAAAGCAAGTCCAAGCCCATGCAAAAATGACCTCATTGTCATGGGAGCCCTTTCCTTACTCTTCAATATAGTCGCAGGTTCTATACATTAAGATTTGCATCACCTATTCAGGAGCTGGGGAATCGGCTGGAGGTGATGGAAGTGGTCCTAGCTTATCAAAAAAACCTTCCTTTGATCTCAACATATCCGCGGCTAAAGAAGAGCTTTTATACCCCGGGTATAAAGGGATAGACAGTCTAAGAGAGTGCCAAGAAACAACACATACCTATCACTTTTGGAAGGTTTGGAACCCTCGATTCATCCGACTCAAGGAGAAAAAGAGAACATGATGGGGGGGGGCTTGCCTCCTCGTTCCCTTTTACCTATGCCATGATGCTCATGGGCAGCTTATCTCTAATTGGATTTCCTTATCTTTCTTCTTCAAATTACGAGTAGAGATTTGGGGATAGTGGATAGGATAGGGGAGCGGCATTCTCCATTCTATCTATCTTGAATTGAATTATGGAACTTTCTCCCCGAGCTGCGGAACTAACAAGTCTATTAGAAAGTCGAATTAACAACTTTTACACCAATTTTCAAGTGGATGAGATTGGTCGAGTGGTCTCAGTTGGAGATGCAATTGCACGTGTTTATGGATTGAACGAGATTCAAGCTGGGGAAATGGTTGAATTTGCCAGCGGTGTGAAAGGAATAGCCTTGCATCTTGCTTTCCTATACTTCTCCTAAGTGACATCAAAATACTCTTTAAGCCGATTCGAAAGCAGCAATAGATGAGATTGAATCAGACAGAAGGTTTACCCCTCACCTTGGGGGATTGGGGAGTTGAGACTTTGAACTATGAGCTAGAAGTCTTTTTACTTTTGTTTGGGCCATGGCGGCCAGTGCTCCTAAGATCATAGAAGTAATGCTGCAGAAAAAGAAGATTTGTTGCAATGTAGCTCCATAATAACCATAAATAGAAACACGTGAAATATTAGCAGAAATAGAGATTTTAGGCGCAATAGAAAGGAATGTTGTAACCGGGGTGGANCAATAGAAAGGAATGCTGTAACCGGGGTGGGTGAACCCTCATAGATATCAGGTGCCCACATATATAGAGTCAAAAGATATATGGAGTCCGAAGGGTAGGGAGTTTTCTTCGGGACTCGAGAGATGGAATAGATAGGGCCCCACAAGTTTTGAATTCGCCGTTGGGGAATTCACACGAAAGGGAACGAAGAATTTTCAACGAAAAAAGTGCTCTCTGAACCGAACATGAAAGTAGTTTTCCATCAGACGACTTTTCTTGTAACTCTACTCTCGACTTGGATTATATATCCAAAAAGGTCCTCTCTCGGCCATTCCACACGCTGCCTAGCAGAGACGTGGTTATCTGAAGTGGATTCTCTCTTTTGTAGTAGATGCCGAACTTGTTGTGGCCCATTGACTAAAAAGGGGGCGGACACAACAGCTATATGGACCCCTTCCTTTCTGTTGTTGCCAACGCTTTTCCGGGCCGAGCCAGAATTTTTTATTATAAGGGCAGGCAAAGCTCGAAGGCATCTATCCCAATAGGAAGGGAGGAACGAGGAGAGGGCCCGACAATCATACAACGACGGTCAAAAAAGCGTGTTCCCTTCAGATAAGACGCACCGTAGGCCATCCTCGGCCTTCTTCATTTTCGATGAAAAAAAAATCTCGATCTATGAAAGCGTTTTCCTTCCCCCGCCGCACCTCCCTACCTTCATCGAGCCTTTCCTTTAATGGTTTGGAGGTCCCTGAGGTTGATCGCATCCACGAGCGAAGTTGTCCCGTCCTCGGTCACTCAGCAGTTCTTTCAAGTATCCCTAGTTCAACATTCTCGCCACTTCATATCGTAGACCTATGCAGTCCTATGTCTTGTGTCCCCTTTCCTGATGGAATTCATACATAACGTTCGATCTCCTGGTGCTCGGATCTGATTTTATCTTTTGTGGCCACTACACCTTTGTGCCGAGCTTTTCCAGTGCGTACACTATTTCTGAAAGAGAAACACAAAAGTATGAAAAGATAACAGTGGAGGCATACCTCTTTCACTTTGGGGTGGTGCGATGTGTCGAGGCACGACGTCTGTATGCCGTGGAGGAGACGGGTTGGATGTTCGGACATAGGGCTGGTGCCTTTCTCGGTTGAAACGTGGTAGCTGATCCCTTCGGCCGTCGTTGCGACAATCTCTCCTTGTCTCAATTTGGACCGAAGTTAGTCGCTGGATTGGGCCGTTCAGATCATCCTCATCTGCCCTCACTTCAGCGCAGTAGGCATTATGGATCTCTTTCCACGTGGTGGGGAGGTACTTTATGAGTCTACTTAGCAGCTTTTTGGTTGCTTTTGACCTGTTTCTGTTTAACCCATTTTGAAAGGCTGCTACCGCCATCCTTTCTGACACGTTCGGTAGGCTCATCCTTACCCTGTTGAATCGGGCTAGGAAATCCCGAAGTCCCTCGCCTGTCGTTTGCCTGACGGCGAATATATCATATACTTTGGACTCTGCCTTTTTCGCTCACGAACGTATGAGCGATAACGAACTTATCTGCCATTTTTTCGAACATTGTTATCGATCGCGCTGGTAGTTGGGAATACCACGTCAGCGCTTCCCCTGTTAGAGTTTCGTCAAAAAATTTCAGCAGTACCGACCGCACCTGTTCTTTTGACACTACTAGAAAAACATTAATTTGTGACTGAAATTTCCGACTGAAAATGAAGTAGTCGCTAATGGGACTACTTTTGTGACTGTTGTAGTCGGAAAAAGACTGATTTTTTATTACTTTTTTTAAAAAAGAAATTTGATTATTATTCCAACGAAAGCAGTGGAAAAATAGCGGGCCAATTTCCCGCCATCACTTTTGCGACCGACTCGGTCGGACAATAAAAAGTCAAAAATATTAGTTGACCAACAAAGCGACTGTGTCGGTCACAAAGTTAAAATTAAAATGGTAAAAGAATATTTAAGTGGGTTTGCGACCACAGTAGTCAGAAATCTAAATTTAATATTTCGGATTTATGCCAAAGCCCTATTTCCCCAATTTCTGTCGCGCCCTATTTTCCCAATTTCTGGGCGCCCAATTTCCCTCCTCTCTTTCCCTCTCATATCTTTTTTCTTCTTTGATTTCTCTTCCATTTCACCCGTGAGGCTGATTGTTTTCGAGTTCATCTATGCGACTGACAGAGGCAAACGACTGAAGGAGACAAAAGGCTGACAGAGGCAAACGGTTGAAATCTTACGGTAAGAAAAGATAGAAGTAATTAGTTTTGTTTGCTGGTCACATTATTTTTAAATTGTTGCAAATTGAAAGCTTCAATGTGCTTTTGTCATGTATAGATTTCCATATATGAACTTTATTCATAGGACCAATTGACTTTTTGGGGTACTTTGTTAAAGAAATCTGTCTGTAGTATACATTATTGATAGTAATGTCCACCATGTCTGTAGCATTTCTGGCTCCCTCTGCCAAAACTTTATCCGACTATATGTTGTGTCAAACATTAGTTCCTTGTATCGTACCAGCAAAGTAGAAACCTAAAAAAGAATTATGCATCACTGTCTTTGAAGGAATAAAATAGTGGACACACACTTCACTTGCATTCAAAGTGAAATTCAGCTTGGACTTTCAACTTTCTGGTGCAAAAAAAAAGAAAAGNAAAGTAGAAACCTAAAAGAGAATTATGCATCACTGTCTTTGAAGGAATAAAATAGTGGACACACACTTCACTTGCATTCAAAGTGAAATTCAGCTTGGACTTTCAACTTTCTGGTGCAAAAAAAAAAAAAAAAAAACTCACACTCGAGTTCTCACGCGCTTTGAGCTTGAATTTAGACAATTATAAAGACACATATTCTTGCTAATGAAACAGAAAACTTACAATTTCACAGAAGTAAAACAAGGCTTGTACATAAACTCCTATCTTCATATTGATAAGTAAATTCAACTGTAAAAGAGATTTGAGAGGAACATTTTACAAAAGCTGTGCTAGTTATATATGAAATGAACTAAAGACATATTTAATACTCTGGGATTCTAGTAGACTAGAAGTCCTTCCGAGCCCTAAAAAGTACGAGCAAAAATGCATACTTGTTGACAACACTATAGGAGAAAACATACGGTAAATGCTCAACATAACCTGGAATCTGTGATGATTATGTGCAGAGCACATCAGATTTCTATACTTTAAGAGTCTAGATCAAACGTGATAAGTATAAACTGAAGCAGTAGAAGATTTAGGGCTATATTTTACTGCATTATATGGCAATTCACTAAATCATGACTGCATTATATGGCAATTTACTAATTAATATGTATTGTTTTACATATCTTGGATTTATTTTGTGTAGATGGAGCTTGCACATCGTAGATGGATGTATAATCGAACTTATCCTAATCGTAGTGGGTTGAGGGAGGAATTTATAGAAGGGGTTGCCGAATTCATGGCTAAAACAAAAACACTTCATGAATTTCTCAGTGAAGGGGTGATTAGGTGTCCTTGTATGAAATGCAAATGCGGAAAGTTATTACAACCAGATGTTGTTAAAATTCATCTTTATAAAAAAGGGTTTATGGAAAATTATTATGTGTGGACTATTCATGGAGAGGATGTTTCTAGTGTTGGTAACGTTGATTTTAAAAAAAAAATTGATAGTGAGGGTAGTCTATTAGCATGGTGGCTCCTCATCTATGCCTCCGTCATCCTGCACTCCATACCCAAGCTACCATGTTAGTCAGAATGGTGGTTCTGCATCTGTGGCTCCATCTTCACCTCCATCATCATCCACTCCTAGTGTTTCTAGGCCGCATGTTTGAGACTCTACCATACCATCATCCCCATCCATTAATACATCTACACCTGCTCCTGATGATACACAGAATCAGACTTTTGAAGAGATTGTATCATATGATTCCTTTCATAGACTGATTATCATTCTTGATGGGACTACTGGGTAAGCAATTACTTTAATATTCGTTTGAATTGTTGAATATATTTTTAACATATGTTAATTTTAATGCAGGTTTGTTCCCTCCAATGAATCTATGAAGGTGGTTGTGGATTGTGTTAAAGGATTTTATCGAGATGCTTGGAGTAAATGGTCAGATATACCATATTATTATAGAGATCAGATGTGGAATCAATTTAGGGTACAAAATCCATAAATTTTTTATTATTTATCAAACTACCCTTATTTCATCTAATGTTTTAAATAATTTGCAGACAAGTGTGCATGGATTCCCAAATATCATCAGCAAATAAGTCATAATTTCGAGAAAAAAGCTGCTGATCGGCTTAAAAATCTCCTTTATAAAGCTCGACAGAAGGGCGAGAAGCCCGGTTGGATGCTAAAAGCCATGTGGGATAGACTTATTATGATATGGGCTTCTGAAGAATTTAAGAAGAGGAGCAATGCTGCAAAGGCTGCCCGTACCTCCAATACGGGTGGCTCATTGCACACTGGGGGTTCAATTAGTATGGAGACCCATCGAAGGAGAATGGTAACTTTCTTATTATATTTATTTTGATTTTAACTAGTTGCAATTGAACTTTATCTAACTTAATTTGTTTTTGGCAGGAAAAGGAAAAAGGGAGAGTTATGACTTATGCTGAGGTCTTTGAGGACAAGCATTTGAAAAAGAAAAAGGATGGGACAAGAGAATGGGTCGAGCCGCGTGCTGCGAGGGTATATGTATGATCCTTCTATTTCCTTTTTGTCTCTTCTTCTTTCTTCTTCTTCTTCTTTGATTTGTTGGGGTTGATTATTCTTTTAGTCATAAGACAAGGACCTTACACAATCTATGACTTTTATACTGTATTTTATATATGTTACAACTTACTTTAGGTTAATTAGCTCAATCAACATGTTGTTTCAACGGACATGGTTTGAATGAAACTTAAAGTTTCTTCCACCTTTGCCAGTCAATCTTGTGGCAGAACACCAGTGACAACTCGGGTTACTGATTTCAACTAGTAACTCAAGATATAGTGGATCTCATATAGTTCAATTGGGGCATGCGTTTTGAAATATTGTCCAAGTTAGGGAATGTTTACATTTTTCGAAACTATAGAGCAAGGTTTGGCACCTTTGGTATGAACATCTTTATCTGTTGGCAGGACCTCATATGTGCCCCAAATGGAAGGACCTCATATGTGCCCCAATTTTTGTTCACCATTTCTTGAACAAGAACCTTCCTTTTGTTTCATAGAAATGCAATGACTGGCAATTTGCACAGAATAAGTGCATTTTTCATGAGGTTGGAGTTTTTTGTATACAGATCATTCAAATATAAGGGAATACAAAAATTGGTTATACATTAAGTCACCAAGGACTTATGCAGCTATAACAAATTTTGTTCTATCAAGCAATATGTCTAAATACACATCCCCAAAAATTCGTAGATGTTAACATGGTTTTGTTGTAAAACATGTTATTATTTATGTCTAGATATACATTCCCGAAAATTCGTAGATGTTAACATGGTTTTGTTGTAAGCATTTTCCTTGAGGAAATAAAATAATTTTCTATCACTCTAATTTCCAACTTCCAAGTGCTTCTTAGTACATATCCAGTCCACACCTTGATTAGTATATATCCAGTCTATATTGGCTTGTAATTGTGCATTTGTTGCCTCTGGTTTTGGCATGCAGAATTTCTTCATGTAGATTCACATATCCATGTACTTTTAGAATGGATGTTGGCTCTCAGAAGCAGCAGTAGTTTGAGAAAAAGATCCTGTAGTGCTTCCCTAAGAAATGATTCTTGACATTAATAAGTGAGAAGTGGATTGGAGGAATTCAAAAAAAATAAAGAAAGATCATGGCATTGCTTGGGGAAGAAAGAAATAGTAAAGGAAAAAGAAGGAAGCATGAGCTAGAAAAAATGAAAAAAGTATTGTTTGTTGCTTAAGTATAAGTTTTTTCTTTCTTAAAATTTTACTTTCATCATACTTGTACCATTTCATTCCTTGTTTATGTCTGTGTTTGTATTTTTATAGATACATGCTTCATCGAAAAACTGTGAAACATACATTTTAATTTCTTCAAGTATCGCTTTAACTCCATTTTAATTTCAGGAAGCCTATCAGCAACGTTTTAAGGAATGGCGTCAAAGTCAACCCGATTCTGAGGATGGTAGCTCAACCCAAGTGTCACTCAATGATGTAGCTTTAATATGGACGCAGGTGGTTGGTGGCGCAAAGAAAGGTAGAACCTACGGTCTTGGATCACAATA